TCAAAGTTGAATTATTCAGTGGCCTATATTGAAAAAATGTCATGTTTAATTCTGTTGAAATCCTTTAAAAAATTCTTCCTTGTTATCCACTTTTAATATTTGAAATATTCCAGAATAATGAAACTTAAGGAATCTGGGATCATCGACGGCTGGCGACGTCAGTGGTGGTCAGACCCTGTGAAAAAATGTAGTGACAACGACAGGATCAGCACAGTTGACCAGCTGGATCTCAAGTACCTGGCCGGGCCTTTCTTTGTGTTCCTGGGCGCCATGACAGTCAGCATTGTGGTGGTTGTCATAGAGAAAGCATGCATGACAGACAGGTGCAGGAGCGAGAAGAGAAATGTTGTCACGCATGACGTAGCAAGTTTGTGATATGTTGAGATTATTCAACACACGTTTAAACTAGGTCAATTATTGAGAGAATACAAATAATACATGATTAATGATTGAGTTCAGAAAGTGACAAAGTCAGATAGAGCATTATTTTATAGTTCACCAAGTGACTAAGATAGATTATTATATAGTTCAGAAAGTGACAAAGTCAGATAGATCATTATTATATAGTTCAGAAACGAATTAAATCAGATAGATCATCATGCAGAATTAAGTGATTGACTAAGTCAAAAAGATCTTGATAAAGAGTTCAGGAAGTAACTAAGTCATTTATATCCTTATTCAGAAAGTGACTACGTCAGATAGATCATTATTATATAGTTCAGAAAGGAATTAAATGAGATAGATCAGGATATAGACTTAAGTGATTGACTAAGTCAGATACTATACTAGAGATGACAGGGCGTGCATGGGAGAGATGTGATGATAATTGTTTCAGCTACTGAGCAGACAATACAGTTCATTGAGTTAAATGCCAATCCACTGAGCATACAAAAAATCATTGTCTCCATTGCAAAATGCATGCTCACGTGATTAATGACTCCGCAAAACAATGTAAATGTGATGGTGATAAAAAAAAGTATAAAGTTTATTTTCAACACTCTAAATAAATTTGTCTTTATTTATGTTTGAATAGTGGATCAAGGTATTGGATCAAGGTATTGGCTTGTATGTGTATGATGCCCCCCCCCCCACACCTAACCCAACCCCTACTCCGAGGCGATCTATGATTCAATGGGACCCACTCATGGGGTCAGCGAATTCAGTCAGGTTTTTAAATTATTTTATGTGTGCACATTTAAATCTTCTAACTCATTACAATAAGTCGTATTAATTATATTCAGTCAACATTTATTTTATAGATGTAAATTACAACTTATTTCACACATAATTAAGAGCTAGTCCTACTTTATATTGTGTTTGATCTTTCAAGTAACTAGTTAGTAAGAGATTAGAGTGTGTTTAATCTTTCAAGTAGTTAGTATGCAAGAGATTAGATTGTGTTTAATCTTTCAAGGAGCTAGTATGTAAGAGATTAGATTGTGTTTAACCTTTAAAGTAGCAATTATGTAAGAGATTACATTGTGTTTAATCTTTCAAGTAGCTAGTATGTAAGAGATTATATTGCGTTTAATCTTTCAAGTAGCTAGTATGTAAGCGATTACATAGTGTTAAATCTTTCAAGTAGCTGGTAAGTAATAGAATAGAATATCTTTAATCTTTCAAGTAGCTAGTAAGTAAGAGATTAGATTGTGTTCAATCTTTCAAGTAGCTAGTATATAAACGATTAGATTGTTTAATCTTTCAAGAATCTTTCAAGCAGCAAGTATCTAAGAGATTAGATTGTGTTTAATCTTTCAAGTAGCTAGTATGTAAGAGATTAGATTGTATTTAACCTTTCAAGTAGAAATTATGTAAGAGATTAGATTGTGTTTAATCTTTCAAGTAGCTAGTATGTAAGAGATTAGATTGTGTTGACTGGGTGGCCAAATGGTCTAAACTGAGCAAACCTCAAGTTGGTGGTCTGGTGTTCAAGTCCAGCCAAAGACCAGTCAAGCAAAAACATCACCCCGGGTGGATGAGAATCGTTAACCTTGTTCGGCAACTCATCTAAGAGAAGGAAACTCTGAATTCAAACCCGGAGTTGGAGTCCCGTAAGGCGCAAACAATGACATTTCCTGCAACCGAATCCATCCCTGGTCGTCTTGACGTAGAGTCTTGCCACTGGATAGGGTGGGCTCGGACGAGAGAGTGAGGTAGACGCCGCGCAACTCTTCTTCACTTTAAACAAAGTCATCCGCGCAAGTCATCAGTCACCAGTCCTCGACGGACGAACAATAATAAGATTGTGTTGAATCTTTCAAGTAGTTAATAAGTAAGAGGTTTGATTCAAATGTTGCTGTAGAGAACTCTGGAATTTTTAGCATAGTTTTATTGAGGATCGCTCTGACAAAATGGGTCAGAGGTTAACGTCATTGTGACAAGAGGTTGTCTAAATTGTGCCCCAAATTTGTGATTTAAGGGAGTGAGTTCGCTTAAAATCGTTCCTGGATGGTCCAAATATCAAACTGACAGACTCTTAAATAATTAACTATACGTTATAAAAACAAACATAGATTCGTTAAAATATTTGCTGTTTTTTTTTTAAAGTTTTAATGTATGAATCATTATTGTAAATATGGCACTTGTGATTACTTGCTGATACGTGAAAGGAAATATGCGGGGCGATCCAGCAAGGATATCTTTTGTACAGTAAGAGACTGGCACGGGAGATGGAGAACCAGACTAGCACATGTTGCACTTTTTACTATCATCCTTAGATGTCCCAGTAGCCACATGTGCAATCATCCTTAGATGTCACAGACTAGCCCATGGTGCACTTTCTTTGTACAATCATCCTTAGATGTCACAGTAGCCCATATTGTACTTTTTACTAGGGGTGTGCCGGATCCGTTTTTTCCAACCGGATCCGGATCCGGATTTTCTTATGCGAAATCCGCCGGATCCGGATTCCGGTTTCTCCCGGATTCCGGATTTTGGTACTATTGGTAGATACTTCGGTAAGTCAAGGTGGACTACTACTTTTTGTGTATGGGAATTCGCAATCGGCGCCAAAAAATCCGAGTTTTTAATTTTCCGATGTGTGTGTCTATTTATTATTAAATTAGTACTTTCGATATATATTTGAGTTCCGTTCCATTTGGATAAGTGTCTTACGAGAGACGCCATGTTTCTACGCGTTCGCAGCAGGTTATGCAGCTCGCTCAACCTAATTTCGCCATGGGGTTGGCCACGCCCCCCTTTTTAATGGCGGAAGTTGACGATACTTAGGAAATATTAATTTATTATCACTATTTACATCAAAATAATTGATAACTTGTGTTTCAGAATGCATTTAAAGACATTTAAACTGGAATGTTTTAATTTGAGCTTTAACAACCCGGTAGAATCCATATTATAAATGATCAGAATTTACCGTGTGCAACACGTTGTCATTGGCAACCATTCACAGCCACTTGCATAACTGTATCGTAGTACTACCTCAGAGTTTCATTCATAAGAGTTTGCCGTGTGCAAAAACTATTAAACCATTGGTCAGGGAAAGCTTTAATTAATTATTCATGTGCCAAAGTTGAAAGTTTAAACTAAGTCTAAACAGTATTTTAGTGATAAGGCAGGGAATGCGTTGCCTTATATAAACTATATAGTCATTGCGCATGACGGGATTGGTGGAATGAGATCACAGAATGTGGAGATGCAGTCCATGTTAAAAAATGACAAACCAAGTCGTACTTTAAAAATTCATAACTTTAAAACTACAACAGCTAAAAATATGATTTTGGTGTTATAATTCTTTAAAAAATTACATCTTTTCAACTATGCCATTGGTTTATTTTTACAAAAAGTTTAAATTTTCTTATCAAAGTCCCTACACTATTGGCCACTATTAGCGGTGCTGACTCTAGCCTCTGGTATGTACGGAATATTAAACATTAAACAAGCTCAACGCTCGAAACAATCGATTAATGTATCGTGATCGTGTGAAATTCGGGAAAGAGAATTACTTTTATTTCAGATTATGATCCGGTGAGTCACAAAATCTGGCAAATTCCGAAATCCGGTATATTCCGGAATCCGGTTGTTCCGGATACATGTAAATCCGGCGGAACCGGATTTCACCGGATAGTGCAAAATCCGGCGGAACCGGATTCCGGACCGGGGTCCGGCACACCCCTACTTTTTACATCATCCTTAGATGTCACAGTAGCCAATATTGTACTTTTTACATCATCCTTAGATGTCACAGTAGCCCATATTGTACTTTTTACAATCATCCTTAGATGTCACAGTAGCCCATATTGTACTTTTTACATCATCCTTAGATGTCACAGTAGCCCATATTGTACTTTTTACAATCATTCTTAGATGTCACAGTAGCCCATATTGTACTTTTTACAATCATTCTTAGATGTCATAGTAGCCCATATTGTACTTTTTACAATCACCCTTAGATGTCACAGCAGCCCAATAGTGTCCTTTTTACAATCTTCCTTAGATGTCACACTGAGATAAGTTAAAAAAATATGTACTCACAAACACAAAATAAACAATTTCAGAGTTTAGATATATTTTTAAATACTAATTTTGGGGTTTAAAAAAACCGGTCCACTAAAAAAACAGAAATCACATTGGATATAAGGGTAACCAGCACTGGCCGAGCTTGGGGAGGAGGGGTGATGACTTCCCCTTGATAACCTATGTATGTGTTATCTCCTTTATTATTGTAATCACCAGCCCTACATCTTGTGGGCTACAAACACTCTGCACTCACCTAGTATGATTTTATGTTTGATGAATGTTCATAAACTATCATGACTCATATCTTAAAAAAAAAAGACATTTTAAAAGCAACTTAGTTCATGCCACTGTTCCATGTTTTAACCTTTATCCATCTTAAAATAAATATTGTGGCTTGTTCCCAGACATCAAATTTAATTATGCTTTTTTTTCCTTGTCTATATAAAAATAAATAATTTAACAAAGAGGGACTGATCAGATAATCTCATTTAATGGCAACTTCATGTAGTACTTAAAAATTATATAGAAGTTATAATTTCAGATAATTTTCAACAGAAAAATATGCTAATACCCGGTACAATATTTTAGTATAATACAATATATCTGATGACATGTATTTGAATTTATAACAACCACAAATAAGTAGAGTGATTTTTATTATTCAATTAAAAATGTTAAATTGAAGTTCATTCTTGCTCCTTCACATACAAAAGCAATAACTAAAACTAAGTTATATATCATCCAAATAGGTTATTAGCGTCCACTGAAAAATGAATTTCTTTTCAGACTTTTATTTTATTTTATTTTTTTTTATTGCATACAATAGGGCAGATCAACCTTGTTTATTTACAATGATGTAACTTACAGTCAAAAATGACAAAAAACTAAATTTGATGATATGCTCTCCAAGCACCTCTGCAAATTTCAACACACACTTTTGAATTGTACATCAACCTTTGAAGATAAAAAAACATTTTAACACATTTTCATATTTCGTGGCATCATTTTTTTGTTTAAAGTTTTATATGATGTCATAACTGCAATACATCTATCCATAACAATCATTAAATTTACCAATTAACGTCCATTATAGCATTTCTGATCAAAGTGCAAATCTCCTCACATCAGAATTATGATGCCTTTAAGCAATAAATATAAAAAAGCTGACAAAGACAAATGTGGATGAAGTGGTAGGGCCATCAGAGAGTCATGTTAACTAAGATGTCACTGACAATGACTTAAAAATTAATTTTATAATTTGAAAATAATAGTTCATGAACTACAGACATTTTTTTTTGTACAATCCAAAAGAAAAACTGCAAAATAGTAATTCTTGGACTATTATTGTGATAATAAATAAATAAATAATCTATGCCTTTAAGATAGGATGCCCATCTGTTACCAACCTTAATTCCCAGAAATTATGCATATTGAACTTATATTAATTGCAGCGTCATATATGGATTCTTCACTGAGAAAAAGACAGCTGTACTTAAGAAAAAAATATCAGCTCTACTGTAGATTAAACAAAGTAAAAAGTATTTTAATCTATTTTAAAATAACTTTAACGCTCAAAATATCAACCCAGTGGTGTCATTATAAACTTTAAAAACAAATCATATAATTTTTTTTTGATGTCAACCCTTATTTTCCAATGAGAGATAAAGAGATGGGAAAACATATTCAATATGGCACATGGTATTTTAATACAATAAAATAATGAGATCAAATTTTATCAATGTAAATCTCACTTACAAGGGATGTCAATAAATTATACATTAGTTATCCTTAACTCCATCATATGGAACAAATAATTAAAAAGTATATGCCGTTGATCTTAGATACTTCATTTCCCATATATCAAGTGATCCTACATTCATGATATTTTTTTCTGAAACTTTTAAATGAATTAAAAAATAGATGTTTTAAATATTATCTGTTATGTGACATTGCTTTATTCCATGGGCCATAATCATACTCTTTCTTGTAAGCTGTAAGTGTGTTTTTTATAACCATGGCAACAGTGACAGGACCAACTCCTCCAGGTACAGGTGTTATGTAACTTGCCTTTTCAGATACACCTGTAAAAAAAATTTGATTTGAAAATTTAATTAAATTATATTATAGTTGTAACACATAAAATATAACAATAAATTTGGTATTTTACTATTTATTTTTTATTGTGTGAAATTTATTTTCATTTTTATGTGTCTTGACAAGAAAAAAGGAAGCGTGCAGGGAGTGGGTTCATATGTGCCCAAGTGATCTACACAGGTTGCACTTCTTTTAATTACAGTGGTACCTCGGTATACGTCCTTAATCCATTCCTGATCCTTGGACTTATACCAAACGTATTTTTCTCATAAGAAATAAAGGGAAGATGATTAATCCCTTCCCATGAGAAAAAAAATCACATTGTTATTGGCATATTATACATTTATTGACGTGGTTGTATAAAATAATTTAAACACTGCTTAATACTAAAATACATAAATAAAAAGAACTTAGGTGAAATAAATGAAAATTTAACACTGGTATCCAGATCTAAAGCAATTTTTCAACATGCACTGAGAAAATTCAGTTATTGCACAAGTCGTTCACTGTATGGTAGCAACTGCCGTATTAACATACATGAGAGGTAAACAAGAGTATTGCGCGGTGTTGTGACTCGTACAAGTATCACATGCGCGATGTGTCATTGTGACACATACAAGTTCTAGCACGCACGCATGTTGTATTCTAAACGAAGGTCTTACACCAAGCAAAATGTTTCTCGTCCAAACAGGAAGCATACCAAGTTGGACTTAATCCAAAGCGGAGGTATACCGAGGTACCACTGTGTATACAACATTTATTTTTTTAACAAGATTTTACTTTGAAGGACTTACCTTTAAAATCCACATCTCCTACCAGCTTAGGTTTTCCATTCTCATCAATGATTCGAGTGATACCAATATCAATGACAATGACACCGTCTTTGACCATGTCTGCTGTCACAAGACCTGGAACACCTGTAGCTGTCACCAGTATATCAGCTGATTTAATGAAGTGCATCAACTGATCTGGGGGAGTGTTCCGGTGGCAGATTGTGGTTGTTGCGTCACCTGAAATAATTATTTTGTACTTTCTAAGTAGGAAGAAAAATCAGGGATTGAACACTGTTAAATCTTTAATTTTTTATAATGGTAGCAGGCTTAACACATTTTGACATCAACTAAATATTTAACTTTTTTTGAATCACTTCTAAATCAAGTGTGTTGTATACAAACACAACTCTACCCTTGTGAAAGCAACTATAATTTTTAAAAGAATCATTTTAATTTTGATTTTTTTTTCAAAGATATTTCATCGTAATGGAAATGTGGGAAACAGGGTATTGAGCCACAGTTTATTTTTCATATTTGTGTTAGACTTTGTTTGTACGCTTTCTTCTTGCGAACATGTTCATTGTTTTGTTTCATACTTTTTCATGTTTTACCATACCTCATTTCAGACATTTCCTTCCACTTAAACCTGATTACAGTCTCTCCCCACTTATTATATTTTGTCTGAAACATTTTCAATTCTAGCATAAAGATTGCACTCTATTTCCAATAAATATAACATGCAATCTACAGTAAATATCCGTTGTGAAAAATGATCTATTAGATGTCTGATGAATGATGAGCATTTTCTTACTTTTTTTGTTTTTTTTGTTACCATACCTGCATTGTTGTCACCTTTTCCATCTGAATGAAGGTGCATGGCAATTGGTAAGCCAACATTTTTAGATCTACCACATACAACAGCATTTTTTCCACGGGTTTCTATTTCTGTTGAATTGGAGAATGAATACTGAATAATGCCTTAACACATAATTCCTGAATTTTAAGTTTCATGGCTGGTTTAATCTGTTAACTTAGTAAACATATTTTTGCATTTGTCTGGGTCACTTAATTTACTTAACAACTGGAAGAGGGGGATTAATACATTTTAAAATAAAAAATATCTTATTTACGTGACTAAAAAACAACATTAATAATGTGTTAAAAATGTAAGAAGTATCCAAAGAATTTTGTAAAGCTTTGAAACGTACTTAATCTTTTGAGAATTTCTAAAACTCCTGATGGCGTTGCAGGTATAAATGCTTTCTGGTCTACACAGAAACGCCCAACATTTAGAACATTGAACCCATCAACATCTTTTCCGGGTAAAACTGCATCACAAATAGTCCTTTCATTTATATGGGGTGGTAAAGGCAGCTGAACCAATATACCATCAACTTCCTCTAAACGGTTCAGCAGATCAATTTCTCTTAGAACTTCTTCTTCTGATACTTTTTCTGGGATGCGCAAAATGTCACATGCAATCCCTGTTATTTTGAATAAGTCAAACAAAAATATAGTGCTGTGCTGAAGAAGAAAAAATTAGTCCAATGTTATTTTTGTGAACTTTTATCTCATGACTCAACCGTAATGGGTAGTATCATTCAAGTTTTCATTTTAGCATTCCATTCATGGGGAAAAGAATGATTTAACACATAAATGTTCTTGGTTTTCTGCCATTTTTTCTCTCTCATTAGGTACCTTTACAATCTGGCTGGTTGTTCAGTGAATAACTTAGCAGTAATAACATGTTATATATCACTGGATTCAGAATTGAATGGTCTATTATTTGATACCAATTATGAGATCACAGTTGATTATGTTTTTTTATTTATGGCCAAAAGATTAAGTTTTTAGGTGTGCTACATTTTCCCAAAAATGCAAACATACCACAAACAGGTAGAAGCAAAAAAATAAGTGTTTAGTCTTAAGTTCAAATTATTGTTATATTTAATCAATGGCATTCATTTGTAAAACACATATACAAATTTCAAGCAATTTTACCATTATTTGTATTAATTATGCCACTTTTAATAATACTTCATACTATTTTTTTAAATAGTGCATTTTTTAAATTATATTTTTAATTTTTAAAAAAGTTAAAGAAAACCAGGTAAGTACTTCATGAGAGAAATACAATTATTATTAGCAAATAATATAAGTGAAGGTGGATAAATTTTACATATTTTTTATTAAACATATACCACATTGGGTTCAAATAAACATATCAGTATGAAATATGACCACTACTGTTTTTGAGAAAACACATTTATATAACAATGGCAGGACAAATTTTTCTCTTTATTTTATAAACCTAATAAAGATTTTCAAATTATATTATATCTTTATTGTATATAACCATTGCAGTTTTAACATGTTATTGCTATGTTATAATCATTTATAATGCTGCGGCAGAAACATAAGCATTGTCAAAAAAAGATTTTCACTGCCTTATTAATTCTACTAAGGAACTAAAAAGAATAAAGCTATAAGATCTTTTTAATTATTCAAGATAAGCATTTTATTTTCATCAGATTAAAATAAATATGACTATAAACCCAACACTAGAAAATTAATTAAAATGAAAGAATAAGTCTCTTACCAGTCTTGGCCGCTGTTGTTTTCTTCTACTATTCTAATTGTTGTCCACATTATTTGCATTTTTTCCAAAGCAGATATCTTTTACCCACTAACTTTATCACATTCCAATCAACTAGACACAGCTGTTAGATTTAGCTTAGCTAACTAAAAAGACAGAACCATTTATATTGTTTAGATATTGAATCTTGCCAGGGCCAATAGTTCTTTACTGTTGTGTTATTCATACCAATATTGTGTTACATTTATGAAATGAGTATGTATTTATGTATTCTCTCCTGCTCCTTATGATTATTTATTTTACTCGATCCAGTAAAATATTTGCATGCACTTACTTTTCATCAGGTAAAGATGAAATTAACTGTACCTGCTTATCAGCAGTTTACTTTTTTTTTTGTCATAGAAACTTACTAAATAGTTATAGGTATGTATGTTGGCCTAAAACAATTTATGACTTCCATTATCCAGTGAATAAACTCCTTTATATCCAGTAACAGATCACACAAGTGGGGCTTGCAGGTTATGAGTCCAATGAATTTTAGAATTGTTGTTTATCAGTTGGAATGTACAGTGTTAAAATCAATTTGGCTAAGTTGCCATGACATTGCAGCTGCAATTGTTGTGTACATTTACAAAGCATCTCCAGCCTTATTGATGGAAACTGAATTTGAAAAGAGATAAAGATGAATGTACTCCTTATCTTGTCTTGTTTTGAACAGGTTTCAGTAGTTAGCTCAGGTCATATCACAGGAATAGCATTGTCATGATGATTGGGTTGTCCAATATCCTAGGCACCACTCTGACACTCTGAAATTATAATCAAATATAAGCATTACATATAAGCTTAGGTCTTATAATTTAAAAAAAACTGAACAAAACTAAATACATTATTCCATTAAAAATTATAAAAATTCAAAATTAAGAGCTGTTTTAAATCCAGACTAAAATATAGACCTAAAAATCATTGCCTCCTCTAAGCGTATCCAATGTAAACAAAGGAAATGTCGAACAACTATGCCTATGAAAAAAAATAATAATAAAATATACACTTGATATACTGGAATTATAAATGACTACAAATAAGCGTAAATACTTAATTTCAATAATTATGTAGTTCAATGTAACAGTATATCAATGTAAACGTATTTTTTTCCATTAATTCCACAAAATTTGAGATGTTTTAGACCCGCCGTAACAAAGAAAAAAATCTTACCATTGATAGCACACTTTTGATCTGGTGAAACTATACAAAATCATCAGCAATCAAGTCTTTTTCTTGTTTTTATCGGACTATTATCACGTTTTGACTTTAAATATAATCAACAACAACATTAGAAGATAAATTCGGAGCCTGTTTGTCACAGTGATTGCAACCACCCTTCGCCGAACTTTAACAGGATTGGCAATATGGCAGACGAAAATAGCGTCATTAACAAAAAAAGCACGATGCTGGGGATACATTTTTAAAATTAAAAATCTAAATTTACTCTTAAAATTGATTTTTTAAAAAAATTTATCCAAAAAATTTTACTTGCCCGTTCAAAATAACTTTGGTATGTAAAAATGTGATTAAAAAATCAATTAATGATCCATCGACCAGCCGTGCCCGAATAGTCAAGACAACGTACCTTGAGAGTTAAGCCAAAAGGGTTAAGAGAGCTGGTGGAATAGTGATTTGTTTATTAAATTTGACTTTGTTTATCAAGTGTGAGTTCCTTAATCAATGAGAAAGATTATCATCATTTTTTTTTTTAAATACCTGTGTAATGAGCAGCAATTGCTTTATTTCTCACATAGACTATACTTGCTGCATCATTGCCAACTAAGAGAACTGCAAGACGTGGTGCTCTTTTTCCAGATTCCACAATGCATTCAACTTCAGCTTTAATTTCATCTTTTATATCTTGTGCTATGGCCTTTCCGTTGATCACAATGGCGGAACAGCTGTAAAATAAAATATGATAATTAGGTAATCACACCTTCAACTTTTATGGGTAGTCAAAAAGTATACACTCTAATATTTTAAAAATATTGACCCCTGCATGTGGGTTATTTGTAACTTTAAAAAAAATAGGAAACAAAGATTATATAAAGTAATGAATTCAACAAAGAGTTTTCCTGCCAATAAACTTTTATAGAAATAATCTGACAAATGGCTTGTTTAAGCCGATGAGTCAATGATAAAATACTTTTGGTGGATATTATCCAAATGGCTTGTTTAAGCCGATGAGTCAATGATAAAATACTTTTGGTGGATATTATCCTAAGTGGAGATTTCCCCCCCCCCTCCCCCCCAATATTTAATATTTTAAGCAATCTTTTAAAAGGACGTAATAAGGTATACTGGTGTACTGTGAGGTCTGAATTAACATAGATTTATATAATTTAAACAATCATAAGAAACATATACAGGAGTAACTTACAAGATCACTTCTATTGTATTTTTAAGAAAACATTCATTCTAGGGTCTCAAATTCAAACTAACCCAAGACCCACATGATGAATTCAAATTGAATTACAATGGCACACATGTAACTTCTTTTGGCAATCAAAATGGTTCATTTGTACTGGATGTGCACACTGACAGAAGTATTGTATGTTACAATAATAAAAAGTTTTGGACTGTGATAAAGCTTTAAAATAGATTAATTAGACACGAACAATTTGTGTCAATATTACAAGAATCTTAGGGACATGCTAGTTAGAAGCCACCTCCCTGCTATTAAAGCACATAAAGCCACCAAAAGTTGCAACTGTAGCCGTTGTAACACATGTCCCTACGTGATTGAAGTTGATAAGATCACTTTCCCTCTGGAAATATTCAGATTAAAAGATGGCTTTACCTGCACAAGTCGCAACGCGATTTACACCATCCTTTGTAAAAAGTGCTGTAAATTATATGCATGAGCGACAGGTCGTCGCCTTGGAGACCAGTTTAGAGAACACCTCTATAACATAAATAAACAGTCTCTCTGTCCTGTCTCCAAACATTTCAATAGCACTAACCATGATGGAATGTTAGACATCACAGTTACTGGTATACTGTATACTAGTAACACACCGGATCGGATCTATATGGAGAATAAATTGATAACAAGATTTGGTACGTTGACTCCATACAGGATAAACCAAATCCACAATTTACGTAACTGCCATGTATTTTTCCTGTTTGGTGTTTTACATTTTACTCCAAGTCACTTCCTTTTTATTCTTCTATACTTTGTTTCTGTCTGGTTTTTTGCGCCCACTCTTATTTTTTCTCCTTTTTTTTTTAGGTATGATATATCATAATATTAATATATTATATGTATATATATATATTATGTGAATTTAATTTATACTTATTTAAATGTTTTGTTGTGTCTAATTAATTTATATAATTACAACTAAGTATGTTATAAGTTTCGGTATTTTCAAAATCAAAACTTTCTAGATAAATAAATATTTTGCCTATCTCATTTTACGTGAAAAACTTTAATAGAAATTTAATTTAAAAAAGGGGNAGAATAATTACTGGCTGTCCACACTTTTGGTTTGTAAAAAAAAAAAAAAAATTAATTAATTATGGATGCCCCCTCTAGCCTCTATTCTATGATCTATGTCAAAGTAAGTACCAGGTACCTAATACTAATAATAAACTAATACTAATTTTTAACAGAAGTTAACCAACTCTTCTTCAAAATTAATTTTTATTTATTATTCACCTAGACTTTGATGTATGTGTGTGACATACTGATATACCTCTACTGGGATGAAATCTCTTGACCTTGTCATACCGAACAAAGGACAGTTGCCTCCTTTGAGCTTGGCTTTTTGACGATGGTGTTAGTGTTAGTAGTGTTCGGAGTGCCTGCACATTAAAATTTAGATTAACGTTTTTATAACACAAGAACATTGAAAAGAGTGCTCGTCGACCAATTTGTGCAATTATGAAAGTAACCATTTTCGATTAACTCTTTATTTATTATAAGTTTATGGAGTAATTTCCCAGTTAATACTTTGAAAAATAGCTCATTTTAATAATAATTGAATAAATGACCGTCGAAATCTTTTCCGGTAACGATTGTTTCTGTTGTCTAGGAATGGTCACTCTATGTACCGAGTTACGAGCTTCTGTAAGCGTAATGCTTCAATCGACAAAGTTAAAGAAGTTTCATATCTTTTGCTACGTTTGTAACAAAGTTTCATGAATATAAAAGATTTAAATAATATTTAGCCAATATTTATTAAATTCCCAGCAGCTTTTTTAAAAATCGTTTTCATATTAGAATTATAAACAAATTGCCTCATCTGTTTGCAAGGATTTTTTTTTTTTTTCAAGATAAGAATTTATCAGAAATCTAAAATAAAGAGGATCTATTTTTTGTTGGTAGTCCTATTGTTTTAGAATGAATAAACTCGTATTCCTAATTTGTCAATTTAAAATAATTATGTGGATTTGGGAATACAATATGTTTTGATTTTTAAATTATATCTAAGTGGTTATTTGCAATTTATCTGAAAAAAGTTATAATTGTTTGAAACTCAAAAAAATTCAATCAACTGAATATTGGGAAATTTCTACTATTTTGTTAACAACTCATGTCTTGCTTACATAATAATACCGTTTATATACGTTTTATAAAAATGACCAGTTTTGGTAACCCATAAAAATGAATAGACCTGTCTATTTAACAGTTTTTTCTCTTCTTTTTGACTATGGTAAAACGTAGATTATATTTAGCAAAGGTAATTATTTCACGTAAGTTGATTATTATAAGTATTTTTTTTTTCATTTGCATTTAACATATAAAGTGATGTTAGCAGAGCTTTAGTGATGACATTTAAAAAAAAATATTTATTTATTAACCAAAGTGGTTTAATTTTTTTTTTGAAATGAAAGCCACATTAAAATTTTATAATATTTTAAACAAAATGCATAACACAACGTCAAAAAGAGTTGTCTCGTGACATTTCGAGGCCCACTTTTTGGTTTTATCCTCCCCCAACCTTGCATTTAAAGATAATAAGGAAGAAAATATCCACTTCACATCTTTAAGCCCTAAAATATCCAAGGCCCACTGCAGTCTTAAGGGTTGCTGAGCTCACACGATGTTTCTAAGTCTAAGGTTAAGTGACACCTATGTTTTTTTTTAAATAGCATATCTTCCGTTTCTCTCCAAGTTTAGAATGTTGCAAAACTAAATTAAAGTATTTGCTAACATGCATTTCTTTATTTTGAATTTATCAAACATTTTATAAGGACTATAAAGATTTAATAAGCAAGGGAAAATGCATACCCTCAAGGGTGCTACAACTGGAATTAATTTAAATCATGTCCCTCTTAGGATATTGCGGCATAAGGTTGTCTTTAATCATTATTATGGCTAATTTTGTCGCTTCCCATGCGAAAGTTTGAAATGTCACCTCAAAATTGTCTAAAAGAAATACCAAATTCAAGTATGCACCCAAATGCACCCCTGAATTTTTGAATTTATATGACTGTCTTCAGCACCCTCAGCTGCTACACCCCTTTCTTCACGCTGATCAATGTTACAGTATAGGTTTGTATATATGCTTTTGCAAAATGATTACCATGGGGCACGCTACAATTTGAGTGAATTCAGTTTATGTATGGCACTAGCACCATAATGCCTCCCCAGACCCTTAATAAATTACTTGCCCTGATCAAAATGTGTTATAGAGACATTGAATTCAACTATACTCCAAAATGCACCTCTTGATTTTGAAATAATAAAAAAAATGCTCCTCAGACTCCACCACCGCTCAAGATTCATCTTACTTACTTATGCCTTTTACCCGGTCGGTCTGGGGCATAGTGCATCTAAAATAATTTTCCATTCATCTCAGCCCTGTGCTTTCCTTTCTAGTTGCTTCCAGGTGTATCCCATACTTTGTGTGTCTGCCTCTAGCCCGCGTTTCCATGTATTTTTAGGGGCTTCCTCTTTTTCGTTTTCCTGTGGATTTCACGTTAGGGTTTGTCTGGTGATGTTATCTGGGGGTTTGCGGAGAGTGTGCCCTATCCACCTCCATCTTTTCATTACGATGTCTTCAGCAATAGGCTTCTTGCATGCAATGTTCCCTCTAAGGTTTGTTGGTTAGTGTGCAAAATCATACAGTTGTGTGAAAAGTTTTACAGCATCAATTTTTTTGTGTGGACAATTTTTCAGCCCACAAACACATACACACACTATTGCTTGCATGTCCTTTCTAGTACCCGATACGTCCTTGTTGGTTGTGGAGTTTCACCATTTGATGTTCAGGATTTTTCTAAGGCAAAGTGTTTATGAAGGTGTGTACTTTCTGCTTAATGCTCGCTGTCGTTCTCCAAGTTTCTGCTCCATAGAGTAGGACTGTTTCGACATTTGTGTTGAAAATTCTGACTTTTGTTTGAAGGTTCAGCTCCCATATTTTCACTATATTAGTGTCACCATGGGGCCAAATATTTTTGTCGCTCCCCTTTCACGATACAAACTGTGCAGTTGTCCGAAAAAGCACACCTCAATATAAAGAAGAAGTGAGACCTTGGTGAAAAACCTCATCCTGCTCCTTTCTTCGCTACTGGAAGTAGCTAGTGTGTTTGGTGTCAATTTTTACACCCTCCTCCCTCCCCCACCAAATTCTGAAACGAATTATTTTCAATTAATACCACAAAAGCGCATTTGGTTCCCCTCTAATGTGGTGCTCTGGGATTTATGTCCTATCTGCCACACCTTAGCAACGCATCTGGCCACTGCCCACTGGCAACTGCCACTCCCCCCTAGAAAAACTGAAATGCACCAACCCCCTGGGGTGGGGAATGTCTGAAAGAAGCACTGCGTAAATGTATGCATTCTAAGTTTGGTCTAGATCCATCTATCCATGCAACAGCTATGTTTGAAATTATATTTATATAGCTCATATACTCATATAAGAAAAATACAAAAACATTTTGGTCATTTTGCACCCCCCCCCCACCCCAAGCCCAAGAGTAATACTTATTTTTTAAGTTTACCCCACCCCACCTTTGTAATTCTTTCTGGATAATGATGCCGATGGATATGTTTTCAAATTTTCACTAATATATATATGTATGTGTATATTAAATTTTATTTTTTGACTTTGTTGGTCATCCTCAAAATTCTCTAATAGTCTATTACTACTGACTACTGAGTAATTTACAACTATTAGTCTAATGATCTGAAGCTTTCTCAATCAAACCAAGCCCATCATAATGTCCTCTGGGTCCTCTTTAATAGTGCGATGCAATTTTTTAAAATACCATTAACGTTATTTTTTTGTTGTATGTTACAACATCTATAACAGCCCAAATTCATATAATAAAGAAATAAAATTTTAATGGTCATTTGACCATGACTTATGACCTTTAACCTGCATGGCTTGAACTTTTGTTAAATGGGAGGTATGATTTCAAGATGGCTGCGCCCAACGATGAAAACAATCTGAATAAGTCAATATTCGATGAACTTTCCGAAATAGATCAAAAGAACACCTCTACTGATGATTGGCCAGTTCCAGTAACATTGAAAGAAGAAGCTATACTGGATATAAAAGAAGCAAGAGAAAAGCTACCGTCCAGATATAAAAGAGAAAGTAAGTTTTTTTTGTCAGTCAGTTGAGTCAGTCAGTTAGTTAGTGAGTTGTCGGTAAAAATCAAAAATGATTTAAATGACAAGCAGACAACGTAAGCTACTACTACTTGGTCTTAGACAAAAATGTTGAAATTGAAGTTCTGTAAGTTACAGCTTTAAAAATGAAAAAAATTAAGGCCTAGTTATTTAGAGAGGACTTGAAAAAACAAATTTATTGATACTAACTTTATGAGTAGGATAATTCTAAAGAAAGTTGTTCTTTTTGTCCTGAATTATTTTCCATAACTCTGCCGTCTCTGACTGAGTCTGGTCTTTCTAATTAAGATAACTACATATAATTATAAAATATAATAATATAAGTATAAGAAAATATAAAAATAAAAACTTGACAGAGAATATTTAAGAGCTGCCACTCCTTGGTATCCAAGAAGGGAATGTAGTCAGCATATGACCTAAGTGAAAGTGGTCACTGTTTTGAAATGTTAATAAAATTGTTGGGGTAAGCTACAGGTAGGGTGGTGGGAAACTTTAGTTTTAGGCTAAAACCAAGATACATTTAGCACCAGGGCCGATGTCAACTATTGGTCACAGTTTGGTTTATTACAGTTTTTCATTATTTAGCTCTGTATTTATTTGATACTTATTTTAATTTTTCCTCATTTTTTTATATGTGTCTTAAAAGAGGGGGGTCTCCCCTCCCTAGAATTTATTTTGTTTCTTATTTTTGTATTGAAATTGGGAGGAGGAGTTTGGGGAAAAAACAACACTACACTTTTAACCATCCTGGTCTTTTTTCCGGTGTTAATCTTGGGGTATCAACAAGGAAGATTACCTATTTTTATTTCTTTTGAAACTTGAAAGTTGAATTTTAATAAAAACCAAATTTTTAAACTTATTTTATATTAACTATATCCATCCTCAGATTATGTTTTTTTGACATTGTTAGTACCGTTGTAAGATTGGAGAAATTAATCTCTTATTTGTCTAAATGGCTCGTACACAACAGAAGACGATACCATAAATTAAATACAATAACAAAGAAAATGATACACAAGCTAGGGCTAATTACAATTAATCATTTTAGACAGTTAATTATAATTTACAACATCAAAAAGAGATCAAAACTAAAGCTATAGACTCACAGTTTAATGTTAGCTTGTACCGGTACAATGTTGAAGAAGATAACATGTAGTAAAAAGGTACATTGTTGAAAAAGAAAGTACACGCACACAGAGAGTAAATGTAAACTCACAAATCTTCGTGTCCTAATCGTGTTAGCAAATATTTCTGGCCTGTTTCTGAGACATTTCTGGAATAGGCTTACACTTTGTATTCCTTTCTTGATTTGTATCGATATTTCATTATAATCCTAATTATACAGGCTATAGATTTTATTTAGTTATAAAGAAGGTCAAAGGAGACTATTTTTAATTAGCCACTCCCTAAATGCTGTTCCAAGCTTGGGGTCAGCTAAAGTTCATTCAA